ATAAAGAAATATTATATTAAATAATAGTAGAACTATTAATACTATACTATCTTTCTATAATCCTAACTATATTAGAAGCTACTTCTTAATTACTATCTAATTAATATCTATATAGCTATTATTTAAGCACTCTAGGAATAGAGAGTAGAACTAGAAGGATTAAAATTATAGGAGCGTTTCTAGGTACTTACTAATTACCGTTCCCTCGAGTACTTTTATCTAATAATCGGGTTTAAAGTTTAGGGTTATTATCTAGTATATATAGTCTTTCCTTCTAGAGTAGTAAGCTATCTATTAGAGTCTATTCCTTATTATCACTATTTCGTATACGATTATAGTACTTATCTAAAGAAGAGGGATCGCGATTTATCCGAAGGATCTAATCTACTATATAGAGTTCCGAATTAATAGAATTTTACTTAATAAGTAGAGTATAGGGCGTGATAATTAGTGGATACCGCTTTCTATACGATTAGCGTAGAGTGCGCGTAGTAGACACTCCTAGAATACTATACTAGAGGATTCTAAATAAATATAACTATATATAATAAGTATATAATTATAATTAAACTTTAAGAGTAAATCTTATATATTAGTAGTGGCTATAATACTAGGTTAGTTTTACTAAAGTAGATACCCGTATAGCGCTATAAGTCTATATACACTTAATTTTCCTATAAGGTTAATTCTCCTTCCGTTTAGTACTAATCCCTTACTACTTTTTACTTACTAAGTAGACCTAAGTACGCTATAAACGATCTAAGGTGATTACTAAGTAGAGAGTAAGTAGAGAAGTAAGTGCCCTAAGTAAGATAGCCTAAATAAATCGCACCCTAACTAGTAAGAATCTTATAACCGTCTCTCGACTTATAACCTATTTTTACTAGCTACTCCTACTATAGGAATAATAAAGAAATAGTAATTATTTTATAGCTCTATCTATAGGATAAAATAGGATTATCCCTTCGTTTTTCTAGTTAGGAAATATAATAAAACTCTAAATAGAGTAAGACGTATTCTATCTATATATATATATATAATTACTAGTTCTCCCGAATATACCGAGTTACTAAATCACTATAATATAGTTAGCTTCCGTTTATATCTTCTTTCGAGATAATAATTAATTAGAGTTACTTATATATCTATATAGGCTCGAACCTTAATAATCTTATTCTTATCGTTAAACTCGTAAATCTATATATATTTATTAGTAAACGGTAGTCTATTCTTATATACTATATCTATAGCTTTTAATTCTACTACCGCCTAACGGCTATTATAGATAACGTTCTAGATAGCTAGCCTTATCGGGCCGGCTTAGGTTTCGCTTAATACCTTAATCCCGGCGCTAAACTCGGCTTTAGAGTAGTAGTGACCGGATACTTTATAGAAGGTTCCTAGAAGGGAGTTAGCCTACCTAGGTACTAGGTAATTATAGACGTCG